TTAGAGCTGCAGGGGGAAGGGGTTGGCTCAGGTGGCGTCTCTCTGCATGCCCAGCAAACCCTGCCTGTCTGCCCGTCTCGCCGGAGCTCCTCCAGCTCCAGCGCGCCCTTTGACGTGGGTTTGTGGTCGGTGGAGTTTGTCAAGGCAGAGCTGCTCTCCCCCGGGCGGGCTCGTGGCTTGGCACAGCACTTGTGGGCCTGGAGCAGCCCGGTTAGACCCTGTCCTTGGGCACATCCAGGGTCCTGGTGTCTCTGCGTGAAGGGCTGGGTGTCACTGATCCTGGGGGCAGCAGGAGTGTGCACGCTGTTGCAGCTAGTTCTCTTTGTGCTATTTGCCTTTGAATTTGTTTATTGCATTAAGGATAGACTTTGTTTATCCTTTTGCCAGTTCCACCAGGTTGAACCTCCTGCAGTTTATAAAATCACAGGCTGTTTTGGGTGGGAAAGGACCTTTCAAGGTCATCTAGTCCAAACCCCCCTGCAGGGAGCAGGGACATCTGCAACTAGAGCAGGTTGCTCAGAGCCCTGTCCAGCCTCACCTGGAATGGTTCCAGGGATGGAGCATTGACCACCTCTCTGGGCAACCTGGGACGGGGTCTCACCACTTACGGTCAAAAATTTGTTCCTTATATCTAGTCTAAATCTCCCCTCTGCAGTTGTACTGTTATCCTTTGTGGCAGGAAGGTAGGGGCTTTGGGGTCACTTCTTCCCCAGGATGGCACCCAGACAACGAGCACACTCTGAGCCAACAATGTTTGATGGTCCCTCGGTGTGCAGGGCAGCTGGTTTAAGTGCAGAACTTTTATTTTCCTTGCAAATGAACTGTTTGCTGATGAAACATCGTTGTCCCCAGTGTTACTCTGCACCCTGCTTCGCCATCAAGTGTCATCAGCTTGCTTTCCATCAGCCAGACTTGTGGTGGTGTGCAGGAGGCTTCTGACTGGAGAGGGACTTGAGTAATTTGTAGGATGGGAGGGAGAGAAATATTGATGGATGAAAAGTTAAAACGCAGCCTGCGGTTGTGGTAAGGTGCTAAAACACATCTGTCCTTGTCACAGAAGTAACACGTGTGCTATTAACCCCTTAAAAGCTCTATTGCCCCAAATAGTCATTTGACATAGGATCCAACAGTGTCCTTAAGTCAGCCAAATCTGTCTGTGGGTGAAGGAGACAGATCCAACGGCTATAGCTTGTTGCATCAAGAGGAAGCCAAACAATCTGCATTGCCCAACACCTTTAGGTAAATCTAATAGGAGGGTTGGGGAAGATAGCAAGATTAGCTTGACAAACATTATTTGTTGCTAAACAGACTTTTCAGTGTTTCCCTCAGCCCTGACAGACACAATGAGCTGCTCCACCCAGGGCCTTCCCATTTGCTTCATGGCTCAGTTGATTTTGATGGGTTTATTGTGAAGCAAGATTTATGGAGCCCCAGGAAGGAATAAAATTAAAAACTTCCGTTCCTTGTGTTCCCACAGAGGAGGCCCCGTGTCCTGGTAAGTGGGCTGGGAGAGGGTTCCAGCCTTCAGGCCCCACGATCGAGCTGTCCCCTCCTGGCAGTCTCTGATGGGAGACGTGTGAGCAACTCTGCAGATCCATCTCTCAGGGTCTTCTTGTCTTGGGCAAGGGAAGCGAGAGCACTTGGCTGCCTAAGCTCATACAATGGACTTTAAAATGAGTTGGCTTTCAAAATAAAAATGTCTAGGTGGTTTTTTTTTGTGCTCTAGGGACTGTCACACTTTTAAACCCTACTGGGCTGCGTGGCACTATCAGCTCCATGCTTCCAGAGTGCTGAGCAGCTCATGCTTCCACCATCAGGATTTTTAAGAAAAAATGCTGTGAATGATGTAATGTGGGACAAATTCACATTGGTTTGCCCCAGTTTTGGTTTTGGTGGTGCAGCTCCTTGTCCTGGCCCGTAGGTAGCCTTTTCTTCAGGAGGACAGAGGGTTTGGGTGGGGGTGTGGCTGGGTTCAACGTTTCCAGCCCACCACAGCCCTGGAAGGATTTTCTCTCCTCTGTCAGCAGTGGCTCTGTTGTCACAGACAAAGGGAATCCTGATCAGCACTGAAGGAGCAGGTACACCCTGTGTTTCAACACTGAAACCAGGCCCATCAGTCTGAAACCAGTCCCTGCTCCCAGTGCCAACAGCTCCATTGAGGACTCTGCTCCAGGAAGAAAAGGAATTGCTTTTGCCCTCACTGTATTTGGAGACTCCCCCACATCTTCCTTTTCATGCTGGAGGTGGTGCACTCATCCCTGTGACCTGCAAGCATCTGCTTCCCTGGTTTTCCGCTTGGTTGCGTCTCTGTTTAGACACTGCAGTGCCCTGTCCCACATACTAATTACTGACTTCTTGCTTCTGAGGAGCTTGATTCATTCTGGCACATTTTCCCATGTGAAACTGGACCTAGAGCCTTGGAAAATATCTTAATGGACATCAGAGCGAGCCTGAGTTTAACCCCAAACTGGCTGCTGTGTCTGAGCTAAAAGGCACCTCTTTCAGCCTGGCACAGGGGCTCTGAACCTTCCTTGCATGGAGTGCTTTGATTATTTAGGAATATCCCCCCAAAATGAGGGCAGCTCTGCCACACGGCTCTTTCTTTTGCAGTTTCTCTGCAACTAAGCAGAGCCCTCTTTCTCCTGCCTTTCTTCTGCCCAGGGCAGCTGGCAAACCCAGCTTTTGGGGGAAGGAGAGCTGGTTATGGGGCAGAGGCACCGGGCTGAGGCTTGGAAGCGCTTTGACTGATGCCCAGATGTGCAAGACACATCTCGTGTGCCCTTGGTGTCTCACCACATCTCTCTCTACATCAGTTTCCATGTGATGGACAGAGATTAAAACCAGTTTCTTCCCCTTTTCTTTCTCTGCTATTTTCTAAGGATTTTTGGAGCAGGAAACGTCTCTTACTGTGTTTGGTAACTGATCTTTGAGTAAAAGGGTTTTGTCCTTAGGAGTCCAAATTGTTGCCAGCATATAAATAAGAGCCAGGAATGGCTCCTGTCACAGGGGCTGGCTGGGCTCTCTTCTCCTCACAGTAATTCTACCTGTCAGCCCCGATTAACTCGGAGGCTCTTTCAAAGCTCTGGCAGGAAGGGAGGATTTCCCTCTTTTCAAAATGATTCTATTAATTGCTTTTTTCTGAAGTGAGCACAGAGGAGCCATCCTCACTCAGCCACTCTTGCAGCAGAGGCCTTTCATTTGGGTGCTGGAGATAAGTAGATATATTTGACCCTCATGCAATTTAAGACTCTTTTTTTAACCTGCCTGCCTCTCTTACAATGAAAGTCCTGTCACCTGTTGAACGTGTCACATCCTGGCTGCTTCAAGCACGGACCCAGGGACATGACACAACCCTGTCCTCCACCATGGGCTCAGGTCTTGGGCTTCCTTTTAGATGCACCTGATGAACTGAGGCAGCCAGGATTAATCTTCACCATAGTCACCTCTCCAGGGCTTAACCTCTTCGCTGCTACACTTGAGTCACTTGGGAATTTTAGCAGAATTTCACCATAATGTGTCTGGCTCACATCTCAGACTGGTGGCTGGTTTTGGACCTTGGGCATATGAGAGATCACAATTGACTTATTTATACATTTAATGAAACTATGGGTGCTGACTGAATTTTTTTCCAGTTTCAAAACATTTGGCAAGTAACAGGAATGGAAAACCTGGAATGAATCTTGCCAGAAGTTTCTCTTTCACTTCCTTTTCTACCAGGAGATGTGGTTGAACTTTTTTGGGAATTCCTACCATCAAAAGTGTTCTGATAAAATTTCGGAAGCTTTCACAAGCTCTCCTGTATCTGGAAAAAAAATTGAATTAGTGACTTTCTACAAAATGATTTCCAGTATTTTTCTAGTTGTAATATTTGTATTTAAAGCTCTAACTATGAGTAATTACCGAGGGCTCCTGTTTTTGCTATATTCTGGTTTGGATCATTACATTTTCCAAGCTTTGTTTTCACTCTCTTTTTCATGTCTACTCAAAACAGTGTTTACCTTGTGTCCTGTCCCGAAGTATTGGGTGCATAGTTGGAGCATCCTCATGTTCTACCCCAGGATAAGCTGCCTTTTGATGATCAGCAAAGCTTTTTGTGATGTATAAAGTACCCATCTGTTCCATGGGCTTGCTCTGAATCATCCTTGTTAAATTTAAGGATAAAAAAGCATGTCTCACCTCAACTGCATTGAAATTAGATTGAGAGTTGCAGGCTTGGTTCTTCTGCGTTTTTAGTCTGTTTACTGGTTTGGGGCCTGTGGGGATTTAAGCATATAAATAAGAATTCTGCCTGTGTACTGGTTGCAGAGCAAGGCAGGGCACTGCTGGAGGCAGAACTGACCATCCTTTATTCTTCCCTCCTTCAAAGCCTTAGTTCTGTGTCCAGCTTTCTACACAAATCTCCCTCCTGCATCCCAAAGTGTCATGTCCAGCTCCCTGCCTGAAGCACTTCAGTGTTCACTGAATGGGATCTGACATCAGCCTGTCCAGAAAATATTATGCTTCTGTTCCTATGGAAAAAAATATCAGGAGATCAACAATTTCAAGGACAGGCTGCCTGTAGGTGATGAGGGACCTTAAAAGTCTCAAGCAAAGCAGGAGTTTGTGCATTTGATGCTTTGCTCGGGAGAAAATGAATGTGAAATATATAAAATAAGTTTTTTAAAATATATGAATGTATGAATGTTTAAATATATAAATGTGTTTTTTTTGTAACAAGTATAAGTAGTGAGAAACATCTCACTCCTGTTTAATTGCAATGATGGATATTTAGGCTCATTTAGAGCTGGGAAATACTGTTAATTCATCAAATGAAGAGATCAGAGTTTGACTCGCCAGTTAGTTTTTCTCTGTCATTAAGAACAGAGAGCAGTAAAGTTCTGTGTGGTGTTGGCTCTCCTGGGCTTACCTGAGAGCTGCGCAAGCTCTGTACCACCCCAAGTCTGAAGATACCATGTAAATTTTTTCCAGTTACTAAAACCATGTTAACTTCTTCCTTCTAGGCCCTCCCTCTGCTCCTCAGAACCTGATCTCCAACGTCAACGAGACCTCGGTGAACCTGGAGTGGAGCCCCCCCCAGAACAAAGGTGGTCGTGAGGACATCTCCTACAACGTGGTGTGCAAGAGGTGCGGGGCGGGCGAGCCGGGGCGCTGCCGGTCCTGCGGCAGCGGAGTGCACTTCAGCCCCCAGCAGAACGCCCTGAAGACCACCAAGGTCTCCATCACCGACCTCCTGGCACACACGAACTACACCTTTGAAGTCTGGGCGGTGAACGGAGTGTCCAAGCAGAATCCCAGCCAGGACCAGGCTGTGTCGGTCACTGTGACAACCAACCAAGCAGGTAGGAACCTAAACACAAGTCCTTCTCCTCCTCTCTTTTCTGCCTGTGTTTTAGGAGAGCTGCGATTTCCGTCGTGTTTAGTGTTAGCACAAGGACTAGGAGGAGCCCTGAGAGGCATAACTGGCTCAAACCCGTATTGGCTGGTGCTTTAAACGGGTAGTTTGAATTCTTTGGAGCCAGGGAAGCAGAGGAGGGTTTGAGGGTTTGGCTGGCAGAGCCGTGCTGCAGCCACTTCAGGGATGCTGGGAGGCATTCTGCAGAAGCAGAACAGCTCAGCAGCCCCAGACCACATGAGGGGACCCAGCCAGGGCCACCAGGCTCAGCCCTTTGTAGGCTAGCCCCTCCACATGGACACAAAAATGCCCGTGGTGTGTGCAGAGGGCAAAATGTACAGTCAGGGAGAGCAGGCTTGTGCTTCCATCCAAAAAGGGCTGTGTAAGATGCAAATAGAGAGACGAGCTGCTGCTCTTTACCTGCCTGCTCTCCCTCCCTCCTGCAAAGTCACAGAATCCCAGCATGGTAAAGGGTTGGAAGGGACTTCTGGGGATCACCTTGTCTAACCCCCTTCTGAAGCAGGGTCACCCAGAGCAGGGTGCCCAGGATCACATCCAGATTCCATCCCACTGATAAACAATCAGGTTTCAGTTGGTCAGAGCTGGCATCGCTTTAGAAATCCCGTCTGAGCTTTCATCTGCACGCTGGCTGATCTCTGCATTCCAGCTCGTCTGGGAGGGTGCAGTTCTATTGCTGTTTATACCTGATGATTTCAGATACCTCGCACAGCGCTGCTCTTCTCAGTCCCCTGTGCCTGAGCTAGCAAAGGCTGCAGCAGCAACAGACTGAGGGGCCCTTTTCATGAACGTGTGTATGATTATTTTCTTTAGTTACCTGACAGCATTTCTCCTTTGCAGCTAGCAAGAGTTTCAAGCACAGGGTTCCAGTTGCATTTTAAATTTAATTTGCCGAAGTACATTTGAATATGACACTCTTCTCTATGCAAATTAGATACTCAGACTGTCAGACTGGCTATGAGACCGTCAGACCTGTTACCTGATGGCTCACAGCACTGATTGCCTTCAAGGCCCCCAGATGCTGCTGGCATCCAGCACCTTAGAGCGTAGCTCACAGGCTTATCCTTCCTCGTTAGACTTGTGGAGCATGGGACAATATTAATGTTGTGTGTTTTGAAAAATAGGTCCGCATAGTCTAAATCTACAAATTTTAGCTGTAATCCAAAACGCTTCAGCGTTAACAGAGGGAGAGAAATTCGATTCTGCAGTGACAGTTACAAGCAAAATTGTCAAGTCCACGCTGAAGCTCCTTTGAAAATCTGGTCCGGTGTGTTTTGTTCCTTGAGTCTACAGTTGACAGCATCCCTTTTAAATTATGATTCAAAAATTCAAACTCGTTTTGCCTGGTGAAAAGAAGACTAAATAGAGAGCAGGGGCTATTACAGAGTCTTGGGAGAAAGCTGTGGGAGAACGTTGTCATAGGCTGTATGAAGAGAGAAGGTTGAGAACAGCAGCAGGGACAGTGTTTTTGTGCTATGAATGCCTAGCAAAGAGAGTATTTCTGACTGATTTTGGCATGTGTAAGGATTAGTGGATGCATATATGCATGAATAAGTGAGTGGGATCCATCTACCGTGTGAAAATTCTCCCGTCTTACGCTTTAATATGCAAACTGAAATCTGATTGAATATGCAAATAAGAATTGATTTTGTTTATTATCCATGAGTAGCAGTTCTTCACATCAGGAAATTTGTGTTTTTGCCAACATTTCCAATTTGAAACATGCCCAGTCGATCAAATGCTTCAGAGGGCTGGAGAAAACAGCTCTGGCACAAACGAAAATTGACTCCAAGGTGCCGGCGTTCTCCGTTCTTCATATGACTTTGTGTGTTCTGCTGGGTAGGGGATCTAAAGAGAATTGTGTGGCCTAAACCTACAGATCTCAGCTGAGATAAATAGTCCTTAGAGATGCAAATACTCCCATTGATTTCAGTTGAGCCGCTTGCTTGAGTAAAGGTTTGGAAAGTTGGACCCTTGGGTTTTACAAGTACTGATCTGTTTAATCAGTGTAAATGCGTGTCTGGGGTGCATTAAAAATCTTGTGCCACTCAATTTCTCTCACTATATTTCATTATAAAGAAATCCCATCACGATAGAGCACTGCCACAGGCTTGGTTTTGATCTCACACCTTTCTTGCACTAATGTAAAGCTACTTTGGTTTCTTTGCTGCAATTTTAAAATTCAGATTAGAGCCAAGCTCCTCCTTTAATAACCCTCTTTCACT